TTTTTTTTTTTTTTTAATTCTCCAAGTGTGAGTGTTTTTTTGGACAGTTGGTGGGTATTAGTGGGGATTCATGCATGTATTTATAGTACAAAAAAGAGTGTGAAAAGGGGGAAATACTACAGTTTCGTTAGATCATCATGTAATCGTTAGGGATGGTTGATCGTTAGACGGTTACAAATCCCGACAGAATTGTTACGTAACGAAACTGTAACATCTCCCTTAAAAGAGAGGTTAAAAGCTGTCCTTAATCAAGTTGAGTTTCTTAGTCGTCGTGTACACAGAGAGAGAGAGAGAATGAGATTCGAAGTTGATGTTGTTGTCTGGGGATTGATTTTGTGGAATTTTTGTGCAAACGAGAATATATTTATGTTAATGTTGTCGTGTCTCGTTCGTTGAGTATTTTTATTTTTATTTTTATTTTTTTTAATTCACGATAATGTATTCAGGGATCTTCATGTTCAAAGAAGTGTTGTTAAAAAATAAAAGAGTAAATGTTTGGTTATGCTACAAAATCAACTGTTTTGAATTATTAGTTGGTGCTTTGACTTTGCTTAATAGCTTGTTTAGTTATGCCAAACATCCAAAATAGAGCATGCGTTTGAACTCATTTTTTTGAAGGAAATCAATTAACATGTCCTTGACTATATTTAGCATGCCCTTAGTTGTCATTAAAATGGTTTCGGCCTTTATTACTATGCTAAAAGCTTCAACTCCATGGAAATGTCACGATTGTTCCGTTTGAGCGTTTTGGCCAATCTAATGAAATTCTTTTTGTTATGGAAAAGAAAGGTAAGTGATATATCATAAAAGAATAGTTCGATGAACCGATCAAGGTTAGCTCGACAAATGAACATGGGGAGGCCAAAACGGTAGGTTAAGGAGCAACTCGTTATCTGTAGCTCGACACATTAGTGTCTCGGGTAAAGTCATCAGTATTGCCAGTTCGGCGTAGGGGCTGCTCGATTTTATGGGTTCTGCACGTATTAGCAGCTCGACAGAGGAGCTGATCGGCTTTTAAGAGTCTTGTAGTATTAGCAGCTTGGCATTAAAGTAGCTCGGACAGTATATGGCTCGGTGGATAAAAGCTCTGCTAGTCTTGAGCTCGGTATAAGGTATGAAAGGCATTTCATAGTGGGGTGCCGACCTATGGAGGCAGCTTATAACTAAGGGCCGGCCTATAGGGGCAATTATAGAAAGGTGGCCTACAAGGGACACGTGTAGGGTCATGATTAAAAAAAATAATCCGATGGAGGAGAACAAAGCGTACCGAGGAAGCTAATAACTCTCTATAAATAGGTGAAATCAGAAAAAAAAAAAAAAAAAAAAAAAAAAAAAAAAAAAAAAAAAAAAAAAAAAAAATGTAAGGCTAATCACACTATATACTCTAAGCTATTTTATACAGTTCAATATAGCTTTCCATAACCCTTTACTGACTTGATCGGCAGAGGTTTAACGTTGGGAACACCTCCCGGAGTCTTTACCGGTCTCCAGGGAGCAAGTTGGACGAGGATCGTTGCAGAGCTAGTTCGAGGTGCGATAGCACATCAATTGGCGCCGTCTGTGGTGTAACATTTTTTCTCTGCTGATCGTAGAGGAAACTAAGATGGAGAAGCTGGTGGAGGGGGATGAGAGGTTGCGTAATTGGGTAAGAGCCTGAAGAATGTTTGGGTAGCAAAAATGCTTTATGGAGGAGGACCACATGTAAGATGGGCTGGAGGTTATGGTGCGATGGTTACTCCTCATGTGACCTTGCAGANTGAACCAGATATTGTCGCTGGAGTCAGATTGGGGGTTGATAGGCCAAGGGAAGGGTAAGGAGGTTGCTGCACAGACGACATGCCAATGAGCTGCGACGGGAGGTAGTGAGCAGGTGATCCAGTTAACTAGAGAGGAGTTGGATCGCCTTATTGCGGAATCAGTTGGTAGGGCGATGGTATCACAACCTAAGGTGACGGTAGAGAAGCCAACTATCGTGGTAGAGCAACCAGAACTAGTGGTGCACCAACAAGATAAAGGGGTGCAAGGTCCCGGTAGTGGAGCAGCACATCCCGGTGGTGTGTAGGCCGGTGGGAGGTGGTAACCAAAGGATAACTGAGCGAGAGAGAAAAGATCTGTTATGTCTCCGATTGGTAACAGACAACCGAGAGATGTAATGTTGGAGCGTATGGCAGATCAGATTAGAGAGCTTCAGGCAAAGGTGGAGGGGCGACGACAGCCGAGGGTGCACGGCCATCCCTTCACTGATTATATCTTGGATGAAAACCTACCATATAATATCAGAGAGTCTAGCATATTCTACGACGAGTCCTCATATCAAGCTAGGCATTTGCGGAGTTTTGAAAATGTGTGGTTTTACATCGATAAAACAATGAAGTTTGTTGCAGAGCCTTTTTGACAACCATAAAGGGCTCTGCTCAAGATTGGTTTCACCACCTACCGACAGGATTTATCTATAGTTTTGGTGTGTTCAGCTCGTTGTTCATCAATCAGTTCTCTAGTGCGAGGAAGCACAAAAAAACCTACCTCACATTGATTAATATACAACTTCGCGTGAACGAATCTTTGCGGGATTATGTTGCTAGGTATGCACGAGTCTGTGTGGAGGTTTAAGAAAGTAATAGAATTGCGTAAATGATCTTTCTTTCGTAAAGGGGTATTTATACATACAAGAGGATCTATTCCTTTCTAAACAAAAAAATAAGACTACCTAATATACAACAATCACCATAATGATATAGAATAAATCCTGGAGGTGAATCCCTTAAATCATGTTAATATGGTATCCCGAATACTCCCCCTCTAGTTGGAGCATGAAGATCACGAATGCCTAACTTGTGGAGTAGAAAGAGAAAGCGATCTCGACCGAGAGTCTTTGTGAAAATGTCAGCAAGCTGAAGGCGGGTGGGAACATAGGCAGCAAGTAGTTCACCAGACTGATTGCTCTCCCGAACAAAATAACAGTCAATCTCAATATGTTTCGTGCGCTCGTGGTGAATAGGGTTGGTCGAGATATGAAGGGCAGACTGGTTGTTGCAGAGTAGACGAATGTGGCAGGATAGCTTGACATTGAGCGAAGACAGTAAACTGTGCAGCCATATGAGCTCACTAGCGGTGACGACCTTCGAGCAATATTCTTCCTCGACGGACGAGCGAGATACGATTGTTGTTTTTTTTCTTTTTTTGTACGACAAGAAACCAGAAAACCACTTAGGTTGATAAAGAAACCAGAAGTGGAACGTCGCGTGATCGGACAACTGACGCAGTCAGAGTCGCTATATTCGATCAAGTCTAATGAGGTCGGACGTAGGAATAGAATGCCTTTGCCCAGACTGTGCTTTAGGTAGCGAAGAATGCGTAGCGTGGCATCCCAACGACTCTCTTGGGGTTGTTGCATGAACTGGGCGAGTAAATGGACCGAATAGCACAACTCGGAATGTGTGATGGTCGGATAGGGAAGACGACTGATAAGTCGTTACTAGTACAGAGCCCGTGCAATGCACGGGGTGCACAATTTTAAGGTCATTTATCCATTCTTATAATTATATAAATGAATAAAAAAA